ATAGATCCAAGGTTATTAGGGTTGCATGTACACTTAGGAAGTGTTAGAATGCTCAAAACCCATCATGTTGTACAAATAAAGCTAGTAGTAAGTAGGGTCAACTTTATCTTGAATATTATGGCTAACGATTACCTTACGTGGCACACAATTAGACCGGTTACATGTTTAACCTTTAGTTACATGTTTAACCTTTTATAACAAATGACAATGACCAAATTATTACGAAAATTTCAGAGATTTAAGGTATAGTTTAACATATTTTGTACTTTAAGGACTAAAGTTGATACACTTCCAATACTTTCTATCATTTTATGGCCAATTCTATCAATAATAAACAATTTGTCAAACAATCGAACAATTGATTATCTCCATACTAACTTCAAATAACATAAATAATACACATCCGAACACACTATTTTTTGGTTCAAGCATAAAATGACAAACAATCATATATTGCTTTTAATTTGAATACAAGCCATTTTTCAAATCAAACTCAAGTCGAACTAAAACGGTTTTTCACATTTATGGTTCTAAATACCTCAATCCAAAAGAGATGGCGGTAATATGTAATATACAGAGAAAAGAAGGTCTCAATAAAACAAAGATAAAACTATATGGGCCAAAAAGTGATCTTTTAATTTCTGCAATATAAATTAGTTGAAGGTTTTAAAACCTGGGGATAGCGGTTTATAAGCCCCCAATTTAATTCATCCGCTAGGGTTAGGGTTTTAGCGCAGTCGATTATCAATCTCCGTAACTTACGATCGGAAAACAATCAGTTAACCACACTAGGAACCGGAAAACAGTTCATCAGGGATGTCGAAGAAAAACAACTTATCTCTTAGAAAAAAGCAGCATGAATTTGAGCTTCGGAGTAAGCCATTTCTCAAAACGACTTAAATTTTTCGGAGTTTCTAGTTGTTGTTTTGTTCGGGGTGTTGGGATCTAATTGTTTCTGTCGTCTGTTTTTGTGAATTAGGAGAGCAGCAAGAGAAAGAAAAGAAGGCGAAGAAGCTACAAGCTAAGAAGAACAAGATGAAAGTAAGTGATTTCCATTGTTTATACACCATCTCTTTTGATTATTTTTTATTTAGTGGTATTGTTTAAGTGATGAAACCTCATTAGGTTATCGACATTTTGAATCGTTCTATTTAAAATTTTATCACAAACTTGAAATAAATGCAAAAAAACCCTTTCCACCTGGGAGTTTTGTTTAGTCTAGGATCACTTAATCTTGTTTACATATCAAATAGCCACTTTTTTATGAACTATTTCGTTTATCATAAACATATGTTGATTATTTCTTGCATAATATGTTTCAGTAGTGATCTTTGTTATAAGTTATAACAGTTAGTAATCACAGGTTTAGAAATTAGGAACATTAAAGTGTAGTTTGAGTTATATATTTCTTTTTGAAGTTTTTGAAAGCTTTCAAGCAGTGTTTGACAGTTTAGAATCAAAAGATTTAGTCTTGAAATTGAATTTCATATTTAAAACGTTGCTATTATGGGTAATGACATGTAAGTATATTGCTTTTATCAATCCTCACCTGTGTAATTATGAGTTTTGTTAACTCATTTAATGTACTTGTTATCAGGTTGATGGAAGTGCAAGCAAGAAAAAGAAGGGTAGTGGTGGATTTACAGTAGGGAAGAAGAAGTTGAAGACAAGAATGACACCATTGGCGAAAGCTAAAGTTGCTCAAGCAATGGAAGTTGACAAATGAGGTTGACATTAATGTTTCTTGAACCTAGTATTTTACAATGCATTTTAAATCACTATAAATGTGGTTCCAAGTTTTTATTCAATATGATTTTGGTTTTGGCAGAATGGGATGGGATTGGAATTCGAGATTCCGTTCCATGGTGTGTTTGGTTGACAAGTGGATGGAATACAGTTCCATTAGATTCCTTAAATAAGTGGATAAATACTCTAATGCGCATAAAAAAGATTAATTGATATGATCTAATGTTAAATCCTCACTTATAAGAAATAGCTCTCACAAAATACAATGTTAGCAACGAAAACACAATTGCTACACAATTCTTTGAAAAATGTATATATAGACGGATACTCAACACACGAGCATGAGAAGCTGTTTACGAGTGTGACGAGTTATTTATGATGAAGAGAAGATCATTGAGCATGATAAGCACAATAAATTATACAATCAACTCTTTTGTATGTTTTTACTGTTCATCTATCTGCAATAAAATTACAGAAGATATCTTGCATTTAATGCTTGATTGTAGACCAACCTTTTCCTTGAATTTTTCCTAGTACGCACATACGAAAATCGTGTCAGACTTTTGATGAATAAGAGGTCAAGTCGATTATTGACTTATAAACAACTATCAATCTTGAAGTCTTCTTTCAAACACTGCTTATTGTATATCGATGTTTGCCTTGAATCAGTTTTTGACATATAAATATTATGCTAGTCTTTTGATAAATAAGAGGTGGTGTTAGTTTCTGGGTTAATGAAAACCCATCAACATTCTTGAAGTCTTCTTTAAAATACATATTATACATTGTCTTCTTTTCATACGCCGACACTGCTTTATTTTTATCACCAAAGTTTGTATACTTTATTTAGTCTAAGTGAGTTTTTTTTAATCATCGTTTCATAATGGTTTAAGGTTTACGATTAACGAAATTGATCTACCATCAAGAAATCGGGTCAATCACTGATCTTCGTCATCACCATTGACTTGCTCGCTAGAGACTTTTTTTGTTTTTTTTTTTGTCCAGAGAATTTGATTTGCATTGTGGTTGGTATCAAGGATCATCTGGTCCCTATTAAACATCAAATTATAAGGACCAAAGGAGAGTATGATGCATTGAAGGAAGTTCTTTAAGGTGATCGTTTTTCTCGCCATCAGTAGTTATCATGATGCAAGATGACGACTGAAACCTCGAAACATGAAATCGAGACATTTAAACACACATATGGTGATTATGAGACATTTAGACACACTTATGGTGATTATGGCTCAGTTCAATGATTAGTCTATTTTGTCTTCTCAAACATTTATAGTTTCATTTTCCAATGTTTCATTTGATTGGATCAAAAACACATATATGACAACTTATGGTTGCTTGATATTGCTTTTCAAAACAACTTATTGCCTTATTAGCTTTTTGAAAACCAATAAATCGAAAAAAAAGAAAAAAACGTTTGACAATCTCAAAAACACTTTTTTAAACAACTTTTCCGTTGGCTTTAAAAAGCCTTAAAAATGAGATCTGAAAAACATGCAAAACATGACTTTTCGAAACTCTTTTTAGATATTTAACCATAATAGCTTAAAAAAAGATTTTAAGCCAAACGCTTTTTAATTTATCGATTTATTGACTTTTGTTACAACAAAGCTAATCCAAACATTTTTTTTTAAAAAAAACTCATTTTTACCACCGGTATAAGTTAATAAGCATTTTTGGAGTTCAAAAAACAATCTCAAACACCCCATTAAAAAAACTAGTTAATTCCATTTCGATAGTAAATTCCTTGAGAATCACTATTTAATGTTCATAACTTTCAAAGACCATTTTCATAACAAAAAAGAGCTTTATATTGTAATTTTAATCTGCAAAAATAGAAAAATTCAAGAAATTGCTTGGATTAGATATGCGAAATGCTTAATTTCTCATATCTAATATGCGGAAATTTTAAAAAAATTATGGTAAAAATCTTTAAAAAACATTTCCACAACAAAATTGAGTTTTAAATGATGTAAAAATAGAGAGTTCTCACCAAAAAAATAATATAAAAATGAAGAAAAATATGTATATACAAGGATTAGTTTGCAGTTCACATCCTAAAATGATCTTTTTTTATATAGCATTGATAATTTTTCAGCCAATTTTTTTTTGAACGGCAGCAACCAATTAAATTAAAAGAAAACTAGCAAGACGCTAGAAATACAAACCATTAAGACTGGGTAGGATTTTGAAGCCACAAACTCCAATTAATCCTAGCCTTAGAGTTACGGGACGAAAACCAACGAACCGAAATATAAACAATGGAATAAAAAATCCTATCCTTTCTAGGCTTATTACTACTAAACAAAATACCGTTACGGAACGTCCAAAGCACCCAAATGACCACAGAAAAAACCGAGTCAACAATCGCCCGTTGTTGCCTAACATTCGACCTCGCATCGATCCATTCCATCATGTCTCCCATAGAGAAAAAAACAGGGATATCCAAATCAAGCCAAAGACTAACCCGCCTCCAAATCTGATTTGCAATTGTGCACTGAATAAACAAGTGCAACACGTCTTCAGTAGCATCGTGACACAAAGGGCACAAAACCGAGTCAAGATCCACCCCTCTCTCCACCAACTTCGACCTCACAGGAAGCCTATCCATCATTAAACGCCAAATAAAAACATTTATTTTAATAGGAACTGAACAATTCCATCTAGTAGGCATGTAACCCGACGGAAGTCTCGAATCATCGATCAAATTCCTAGTCGATTTAACCGAAAAGCACCCTGAATTATCAAGATTCCAAACCCATTTGTCTAACTCCATGCCAAGATGATAGCCATCCAACAAAGACATCAAAGTCGTAAGCTGCTCCTGTTCAACCCCTCCTCTAATGTCACGACGCCAAGCAAAAACCCAACCCGTCGGAGACCAATAATCACTAACTAAAGAGTTTTGATTAGAAGCAAGCGCAAACAATCTTCCGAATTGCACCATCATAGGAACATCCAAGCACCAAACATCGTGCCAAAACCGAATAGTAGCTCCATTCCCGGTCACTCTAGCCATGGCATTCGAAGGCAGTAAACCACTATCGTGAAGATGGTTAATAGACCCAACTATTTTTTGCCAAACACCACCACTACTTTGTATTCTCGAGCCCCCATAAAAACCTCCCCCTTCACCATAAAAAAACTTCATAACTTTCACCCATAAGGCGTCAGGCTCATTACAGAATCTCCATTTCCATTTATATAAAAGACCCAGGTTAAAAGCATCTAAACTACCAATACCCAAACCACCCTGGTCAAAAGAGTTTAACGCCAAATTCCACTTAACCCAATGAATACGTTTTTGACCCTCTTCCATTCCCCAAAAAAACCGAGCCCTCATATTCTCCAAAGCCTGCAAGACAGCAACAGGAGGCCTAAAAATAGATAAGTAATAAATACCAAAGCTACCCAGAACTGACTTAACAAGAGTTAAACGACCTCCAATAGACAACAATCTAGCTTTCCAAGATGTCAATCTTTTTTTGAAGCGATCTATAATTATTTTCCATCCTTTAACACGCACCATAGAATCGCCAACCGGAACACCAAGATACACAAACGGAAAAGAACCAGCTGAGCAGCCTGTAAAAGAAGCGAGGTTGGAGATTTTAGACCTACTAACCCCCACACCATGTAGACTAGACTTAGAAAGATTGAGATTTAGACCCGAGACTAAATAAAAACATCTCAACACCCGAATCAAATTTCGAACATTATTCTCATTCCATTCTCCAAGAAAAATAGCATCATCTGCATAAAACAAATGAGAGATAGCTAAATCATGTGACTCAAGTTGGGCCCCCCTAAACACACCTTCCGACACCGCATCCTCCATCGCAATAATGAAGAGAAAAGGCGAAAATGAGTCACCTTGTCTCAACCCTCTAAACAACTAAAACTCATCCGTAGGGCAACCATTCAAAAGCACTGAGGAACGAGCATTAGAAAACATCCCCCTAATCCAAACCCTCCATTTTTCCCCAAAACCAAGAAACAACATAATCCTGTCAATATAATCCCAACTGACTGAATCGTACGCTTTTTCAAAGTCGACTTTAAAAATCATCAATTTCTTCTTTTTGTGTTTGAACCAGCGAACCATTTTCAGCCAATTTATTTAAGGATTGACAAGTTGGCAAACTCTTACCAAAGGATATGAGACCGCTTATGTGGAAGACCTCCAACATAAAAAAAATAAAAATAAAAATGAAATAAATAAATAATAATATTCTTTGCATATAAAATGTTAGTTGGCAATGATCTCTATATAAAGATTCCCACATATAATTTACCAAGGCTACATACAAAATCAATAACTATTTTAGACAAGGAAGTAATGCGTACACAACCATATTTCTTCATACATAATCATTTATGTTTTATAGAGTTGTATATAATAATATTTTAAAACACAAATTATTTTGTATGAAAAAACTCGTGTATGAACCTTTTAGATATATATATATATATATATATATATATATAT